TACCGTGTATATGCATGATTATATATGGATGTGTTTTAATTGCTAATTATTTAAATTCCATATATGTTTCGAAAATTGCATGTGAGATATACGGATATGTGTGTGATTTATGTGATCATATTTATGTGGAATTATGTGATTATCTAATGTGTACGTGTTTTTGAGAAGAAAAAGCAAGAGATCAGATTGGATTGAAACCTCCTCCCTCTAAACCTCTACCCATAAAACCCAATCCCATTAAAACTCTCCATCTCTCAAAAAACACACACCCCTTAAACTTCTACCCATAATTAATCCCACAAAATCTGACCCTCTCTCTCTCACAAAATCAGATCCCCTCTCCCGAAAAATCTCCTCCCAAATCCATCTCTCTCTCAAATCTTCAAGAAAAATCAGAGGTGTCCATTCATAATCTCCTTACTCTATACACCTTACGTATATAGGGTACCTAAGAGACTGTGAAGCATTTAATGCTCTTGTCTGCTAATGATAACCCTCTTCTCTTTCCTAGTAACACCTTAACCAAAAGATACCTCCACCCCTAAATGTGCCTTGTCACCACACCTATTCTAAGGGTCTCAATTGAGATTTCTATATGAGAATTATACCTCTTCTTAAATCCTTCTTAAACCATACGAAACCCTTCGTATTCCTCTCAGACGAAAATTCCAGTTCTACCAAGATCAGAAATATCTCTCTCTCAAGATCTCACCGGCAATCACCATGTCTGGAACCAAAGCCATGCAACCCAAAAATCTGCTTATTCTACAACAACAATTGATCGATGGGATGACACTCAATCCGGAATTCTTCATGATTGGAGCAGTCGACAAAGAAATAGCAAAGAAGATTCTCAATGCTTTGAAGGATTGTGGACTATATGACTTCTTCACCTACAAATATGCTGGAGCTTTTGAAATAGATCTAACCGAGTTCTATCTTCATGCTACTGTAAAGGACAACGTGATTCATTCTAAGGTTGGAAGAACAGATGTCCAAATTTCTGAAAATGACATCAAAGATTGCTTCAAATTCCCTGATTCAGAGTTGATGCCAGAAGCTCACCACTATGATGTTCAATCTTTCTGGGATGAAATTCATGGTCCAAAAGCACCTGTAGCTCATGGTCTGACCGAACCAAAGAACATGCTAAAACCTGAGTACGATATGCTTATCGAGATGATGTACAAGATCCTTGACAACAAACTTGGAAGTGTGGACGATCTATCTGGAACTTCTGTGAGTCTAATGAACGGAATCATGCAAGGAATAACGTTCAACTGGGCTAAGTACATCTTCAATCGCCTATTATTCTTTGTAAACAATGCAAAACCTCATGGAAGACCACTTGAAGGAAATCACTTTCTTCATAAAGTTGGGTACGGACTTATTGTTGGAGAAATTCTAAGAAAGAAGAATGTGCCTCTTAGAAGACACAAAAGTGTTGGAATTTACAGAACACTTTTCAGAAAATTTGGACCCGACTATGGCAAGAAATCAAACCGAAAGAAAGGATCTGAAGGAGGTGGTTCCACAAGCACACCACAAAGCTCTCGAAGAAGGAACAGTAAGACCGTATCGGCAGCGAGTGCACATATTGGTTCTAGCAATCCAAGCAACAGAGATCAAGAAGTCGTAAGCTCGGATCTAGCACTTATTCCATCTCAAGAAGTGGCAGAATCTGAAGCTCATGAAGTAGACATACCCGTGATGCCAGCTGAAAAAGATACCACCCAAATGGAGTTTGCAGGAGTTGAAGTACAAGTATCAAATGACTTGCAAAGGAGAATCTCGAGTCAATCAGCAGTTGAAACTAATGTTGAACCCATCGTGTTCGACTCAACACAAACCCGAGATGATCCAGAACTGATGGAGGAATTAAACCGAGTTCAAGCATGGAAGGAATGGAGACTTGAAAGATATCATTCTTTCATCTCAAAAGTTGACTCAGAGTTGATACGAAGTGAAGAATTTGCCTTTGAATGGCTTGGAACTGACTCAATGCTCGAAGCACTAAACATGGATGCAAATCAAATTTATGGACTGAAACTTCAAGAGAAGAATAGTAAAGGAAAACGAGTGGCCGCAGCAGCACAAGAAAATGTCACTCAAGTCCCTTCTGACAATATTGAAAAGAAGAATGAAGTGAGACTACAGATTGCTCTACACAGATCTTTAAATGACACTCATCGACATCCAGGTGATACTTCAATTAATATAGCCAATGATTTTCTTGAAAATTTTGGAGAAATGGCAAATGAAGGAAGTACACCTGTTGAGGTACCAATTTCAGCTTCTGAAAATCATGAGTCTATTCCTGTCAGAGTTCACTATGCTGAACTTTTGATATCTAAGGTGACCCCCACCAATATTGATATAAATGCAATGGACCCTACAAGGGATGAAGTAAGGGATCAAATTGATGGTGAAATTAGACCCTCAATTGGGGGGAAATATTTGTATGAAGCGCCAGTGCACAATAACAACTCTGTGATGTCACTTCAAAACAATTCTCTGGAAGTCAATTTAAATACAGAGATTATTTCAAGAACAGAGGTTATTGAAGAAGAAACTGGAAATCATCTTGAAGAAGCCGAATCACCAGAAGAAAACTTGCAACTCATTGAAAATCCAGTTCTTGGTGATTCACGAAGAAATTTGTTCAAAAGTCTACACTCTCTGAACATGAGTAGAAACCGAACCCGAGAAGAAGATGAAGATGATTTGTTAACATCACTTTTTGCAAAAGTTACAGAGACAAGTGATGTTGTGTGTCAAAAGATTGGAACTACTCTTACCGAGCAAGGACATCTCTCGTTACAACACTTTGAGGACACACGAACAAATTTGAAAGAGCTATTGGAACATCAAAATGCTCTGCAAACAAAGATAGACAGAGCCGAAAGACATTTGAAAGGAGATCTCACCGAAGGATTATTGGAGATAATCCAACTCATGAAGAAGGAACGAGAAGCTACCGAGAACATCAACAATGAAAGACACATGAGACAAATAAAAGCCATACAAGACCAGGAGTCAAGGATAAATCACCTTGAGGTAGAATTATCCTCTATGGCTAACAAAATATCTGATTTGCAGGATGTTTCTCTCAAAACACATGATGGTGTTAAGCTTGTTAAAGCCAATCAAGAACAAGATTCCAAAAGTTAGGTCTCGCTAAATTGAAATTCAGTTTAAAAAAAATGTTACTGTTCACACTTTTGACTCTATTTATTAACTTTCTAGATATCATTTGTGTGTTTTATGCATAAAAAAATAAAAAAATATTAAAAAAAAAGAAAAAAAAAAAAAGAAGAACAAACACAATACATTTATCATAGTATTCTAGATCTTTAAATAAACATTATTTATAGAGTCAAAAAAAAGAAAAGTCAGCATAAATTAACTTGGCCAGTTTCAAATGAAATTAAATTTTCAGAAGTCAAATGTATACCTAACTCAATTAAATCCTAGAAATGTGAATTAAAAACTCATACACAGGGAAATTTGACATAGAGGAGTAACACTGCAATTTTCCTCATTACTAAATCAGACTGTTGTTTTCAAATTACAAAATTTCAGATCATGTCTATCTCTGATCAAAGTACACAATCTAGGACTAACACTGTTGACATAACAGTACAGATCACACCTAATATTGAACTGATTGTTGTACTAAAAATAAAAAACACAACAACTAATGGGATGAAAAATAACAAGTCAGATTGATTGACCACAAATTTGAATAAAAAATAAACAATTAAAAGTGAGTGGTAACATGTGTTTTTTTTAACATAAGTCTGACTTAGTCAAATTTCTGCCTAAGAAAATTGTATACCTAACTCAATTAAACCCTAAACCAGCAATCAAAACAAGCTTCAAGTAAATAGAATTTCATTTACATTCTCAATCAGTATAAACAGTATATTCTTTCTATTCAGTTTTATTCTATTGAAAGTATACTAAATAGAATATATTTATTACAAATGAGTAAAAACATTTGGTACACATCAATCCATTGAAGTAAATAGAAGTTAAAATTGTTACACATTGAATTTTGACAATGAGTAGTAACACTGCTCTTTTTTTCATTAAAAAATCAGACTGTTGTTTTGCAATTACAAAATTTCATATCATCTCTATTTATAATAAAAGTACACATTCTAGGTGTAACACCTTTGACATCACAGTACAGATCACACCTAAAATTGAACAATTGAATGTACTAAAAATTAAAAACACAAGAATAATTAGATGAATAATAACTAAGGCTTATCAACCAAGCAGGGAAATAGACATGTAAATATCATTCTCTGCAATCCACTCAGTTGTTGTACCTTCATCATTTGCTAAAGCCTAAAAAAAAATGTTAGTCACAATCTCTATTTAAAAAACAGAACTAAAATATAGCATAAGGATAACCTGGAACAGTGACAAGAAAAAAAAAAGTGTAGATAAAAAATCTGTTTACAGCCTAGATAATGTAGAGCATAGATAATGTAGAGCATAGTTAAACAGTGATAAGAAAACAAAAATGTGTAGATCAAAAACTAAATAATTAAAAGTCAGTGGGAACATGTGTATTCAATTACATAAAAAGTAATTTGCTTTGTTGTTTTCCAATAAAAAATGCAGAGTCATATCATTGCTTTTCATCATTCCTATTACAGTGCAATCTTAAATGCTAAAAACTCAATAAAACCTTCACCTATTTGAATCCAACTATTTCTAATACAAATAAATTCACAACAAAACACTGGAACATACGCAATAACAGCTCAGATATGAGGAAAATAGTTGCTTCTACAATAATAGGAAACAAAAGGAAGCAAATAATCGACAATAAAGGTAACATAAACACATCTTCAAACTGAAATTTATACTTTACCTTAGAAGTTTTTGTTCATTGCACAATTTTACAGCTCTTTACCTTTGTTGATGCATGCTTAGCTTCCCACCTTTGTAGTATAGATATAGATCTAAAAACTCCAACTCTGCAATTAAATTAGGTATTGTTTGGTTAGTCTATAATATCCTATGAATACCCAGAAGCCAATAATGTGTGATGTTCATTATACAGACAAAAAAACACAAAAATTAAAGATCTAGAATATGTTGCCTATGCTAAGATAAGAATTTAGACAAAGAAAAATGTTTAGTTTCACTTATCTTGCATTTGAGTGCGACAAAGCTGCCTGTAATGTCCATCTAAAGTCATGAACACCGTACGGAGCCATACAGATTTGCTTGATCTAGAATTAGGAAACAAAATAAGATTAAATTTGATCTACAATTATACGGTAAGACATAATCGCTAATAAATTACGAACTACAATAGGGTATATTTTACTTACCTTACAGCTGATGTAGTGGAATAGGGTAGTAAGTGAAGATCTAGATCATCAATTGACGTTAGAACCTTAAAAAATGCCGATCCGAGTCTCAAAACGAAGATCGGAGAATAAAAACTTAGATCCTCGAACAACAAGTACACTGATCTCAGTTGTGGGTTTCAGAACTGAACCCTAATCGGATGTTAGCGGTGATGAAGACCTTGCAGTAAGGTTGAGATCTTCTACGAATTAAAGAAGATCTCAACACTGTAATGGCAGATGACGAACTCTACGGTCGGAAATGGGGTTTTTTGTCTGAACAGTGTGAGAGATAAGGTTAGGTAGATGTGAGAGGATGCTAGCTGTACGAGACTTTGGAAGATGATGGTTCAAGAAATGCCAGATCCATCTAGAAGACCCCTAAATGGAAATGACGGTATGCTAACATTATATTGGGCCGGGTTTGGGCTATAATTTTTAGGTAAAGTTGGCCTTGGTCTTAAATTGCTGGAATTCTTGGTCAAATCTAGGTTGTGGATAATGGTCCACAATATTGTGTGAACAATTGGTCCATCATGTACATTTTTAATATATTCAAAGTATATTCAAATGTAATTTATTTCTGTACTTAAGTTACATTATTTTGAGACTTATGGTACATTATATAAAATTATGTACACTAGGTAGATTAAAAAGTCACTTTCACAATATACACCTTACGTAGGTAAATTACCAGGAATTAGTATATTACAAATGTATTTTATTTGGAATTATGGTCATAATCATATCGTTATTTTTAAAAGTAAAGGTACTTATCTATGAATATTTGCACCTTTTCATTGCAGAAAATGTTGAAAATTCTCCGTGTAATTTTGCAATCTCTCAGATTAATGATATTAATTAAAAGACTGACGGATTAGTCTGACAGATTCAGCGATGATATCAGTCAGATAGCTGAAACACTAATTAACTTGCGGAAAGATAAAACTAAGGAAGACAGCGAAAGGAACAACACACAAGATGTTTACCCAGTTCGATACAGTGTGTATCTACATCTGGGGGACGATCACATAGGCGTCCAATCCACTAACAGTTCATCAAATGTACAAAGGTAGAGAATAGTAATCTCACCCAAGTGCCCCACACAAGGTAAGTACCCAGTCTACACTGACTTAGTGGATTGTTGAAGGTGGAGAGTCGTGCATACAGAAGTCCAATGAAATCCCTTCACTTGGAGAGCTAACTCTGATGCAGTCCACTTCAATGATGCAGTCCGACGTTGTTCCCACAACTGTGTGATCTTAGCGTCCTTTTCGTTTAAGGCTTTAAGCAACGATATTTCTTCTCAAGTTCTTCATCATAATCAACAAGAACAAATTGTCTTGAGAAGAGTCATGATAATCAGAGATGTAATCTCTTAGTATATGTTTGAGTGTTTCTTTCTTCTCAAAAGCGTAACCCTAATTCTCGATCGAATAAGAGTACTTATAGTTCCAATATAAGAACACTCTTCATAGATATCTCTGATTGTAGATGGTAGGACGATATAAGAAGAATGTAATCTTAAAGATCCGGTCCATACCTTTCCAAAGCAGATACGCTGATCTTCTTTCCAAAACAGACTTTTAAAACTGCGTTCTGCAATGACGAAACATCCTCGTAAAACAGATCTTCAGTGTCAGTCCTTCTGTTGTTGAATCTGATCAATCAGTCTTCTGTAGAACAAACAGACCCAAGCTAACCCTATCTTAGTTTTCCATAATAATATTGCCAATTATATGTTGGTGTTTTTTTGAGCAATTAAAACACTAACACTCCGGTTACAAGCACTCACAACGCTATTTTGCTAAAAAATAGCTCAAATTTACACACGGAATGACACTACAACAAGTGGGTACTTCAAGTGATACACCAAAAAGTGGTCTAACAACAGGTAAACGCTCTAAACTTTTCAAATTTAATACCATTCTGTGTTTACTTCGGTCCAATACACTATTTAGAAATTTTGTTGAACATTATATGTTATTTGCAGTTAATCCAGAAAGTATAAATATAAGTATGAGTACATGTCACATGGAATATACGACAAGTAAAAGTAACTCCAGACATTTTGTATTAGGCGGCAGAACTCCATATTTATCCAGTATAACAAGCTCTATATTTCCCGGTTAGTTATATTAAGGCATATACATAATATTGTTTATTTCATATCAAAATTCGAATATCATCAATGACAGACGGAAAAACTTTACATTTGTTGTAAAAGGTACAGTAACTATGTCGAAGAGCACACGATCACCTCTACACAATATATCAAACGGTAAGTGTTGTTAGATCTATTTTTAACTTTGCTTAAGTAATTTTTTTTATGTATTGGACTTTTTTTCTACTTTAAATAAAGTAGGTACCAGACAATGCAACAAGAGGCCGTGCATGAATGAGGGTAAAGACCATAGCCAAGATAATGTGGTCAATCGCGATTTGTTTCAAGATTTTGAAGAACTTTGCAATACTAATGGCATTTTAGAACAAATGGAAGACACTTGTGGTAAGTTCAAGATCCACTAACATTTGAAAAGATACTTTACAAAAAAATTATTCAATTGTATGTATTTAGTTGTTTAAATCAAATGTATTACTGTATTGTAGGATTGGTCGAAATTCCGCAACAACCTATACAACATATTCCAAATGGTAATTCCTTTATTATTTTAAATCTTAGGTCAATTCAAAATTATTTTAGGTATACGTTATTATGTTTAGGGTAGAAACCAATAGCATTCACTTTTTTTATAATACTCAGTTCAATACGTGTATGCATAATATGAAATGTTTAAGGTCATCTTATATAATTTAACTAAATTATATTTAATTATCAATTTAGTTGAATACAAAGATCTTGGTGATGCAAATAACACATGTCAACATTGTGGAGCGCTTTTTTGGTACGAAGAAAGGATAAACAAAACATTTATTCAGGGCACCCCAAGATATTCAATGTGTTGCAACAATGGTAAGATTAAATTGCCACCAGATGCAATTTACAATCTGTTTTTTTTGGAGAAGGAGAAAAAAACAAGCAATTCCTGCAAAACATTAGAACATACAATAGTATGTTTTGCTTCACGTCCATGGGTGGTAAAATAGATAGAAGCGTGAACAAGAATGGTGGTCCACTAGTTTTCCAGATAAATGGGCAAAACTTCCACTACATTGGTAGTCTCTTGCCGGTCGACGGGAAAAAACCCCATTTTGCCCAGTTGTATATATATGATACTAATAATGAACTTAGTAATCGTATCAATTATGTAAGGTACGTACCTGTAAATTAATTATATGTATAATTTTAAGCATATTTGTAAGCACATCCATGTGGATATTTGATATGATTTTTTGGTCTCTTTCTAGGCAAGATGGTGAGCAAAACGGCATCCATGTCGAGATTGTTAATGATATTCAACAAGTTTTGGATACAAGTAATGTCTTGGACAAATCATTCCGCATGGCACGATCTGAGCTACAAAAGAATCCACTTGCTGAGGTTAAAATTAAATTGCATGGGAAGAGATCAAAGGATGCGAGAACATACAATTTGCCGCAAGTTTCTGAAGTCGCAGCATTAATTGTCGGTGATATTGATACAAATATTGGAGAACGTGACATTATGGTAGAGACGAAAAGCGGCCTCTTGCAAAGAATTAGTGAATTAAATCCAGCTTACTTGCCGATGCAATACCCTTTACTGTTTCCGTATGGTGAGGACGGATACAGGGAAGACATCCCCTTCTCTACATTAAAAGGAAACACAACTGCTGGTCGTCAAAGGATAAGTCCTCGAGAATATTTTGCATACCGTATACAGTCTAGGGTCTCTGAGGTATCTACTTTATTGCATTCAAAAAGGTTATTCCAACAATTTCTGGTAGATGCTTATATGATGGTGGAGTCAGGAAGGTTAATCTATATAAGGACACACCAAAAAAGATAGGTTTGAGGTGCGAATCGTATAATTGCTTGAATGATGCATTAACACACAGTGAAGTTGACCCCACTACTCAAGGAAAGAGAATAATATTGCCTTCAAGTTTTACAGGGGGTGCTAGATACATGATTCAAAATTACCAGGACGCTATGGCGATATGTAGATTGGTTGGATATCCAGATATATTGCCTTCAAGTTTTACAGGGGGTGCTAGATACATGATTCAAAATTACCAGGACGCTATGGCGATATGTAGATTGGTTGGATATCCAGATATCTTTATCACATTCACCTACAACCCCAAGTGGCCTGAGGTACAACGCTTCTTGAATGATAGAAAGTTAAAACCTGAAGATCGTCCTGACATAATATGTAGATTATTCAAAATGAAATTGGATGCTCTAATCTCAGACTGTAAGAAGAACAAGTTATTTGGACCAGTAATGGGAGGTACGTAAATAAAATGCCACTATTTAAAACAGTGCGAGAAGATTCATGGTAGATATTTTTTGCTCTATTTTAATTTTTTTTTCTTTTTATATGTTAACAGTGATATATACCATAGAGTTTCAAAAAAGAGGTTTACCCCATGCTCATATTCTCCTGTTTCTGGATAAAATAAATGGAACCCATAGTGTGGACAATTTAGACCACATTATTTCAGCTGAGTTACCTGATCAAGAAGCTGACGCGGAACTTCAAAGTAGTTGAGGAGTTTATGATGCATGGACCTTGCGGGAAAGCTAGGTTGACTTCTCCATGTAAGGCGAATGGTAAATGTACTAAACATTTTCCCAAAAAGTTTGTTAATTGCTCAACTTTTGATGAGGATGGTTATCCTATATATCAGAGAAGAGACAATGGTCGTCCGTGACGCGTAATGGGATTAACTTGGATAATAGGTACGTGGTACCACACAATAGGCATTTGTTGTTAAAGTATAGGGCTCATATTAATGTTGAATGGTGTAATCAGTCCCGTTCAATCAAGTATCTGTTCAAGTACATGAACAAGGGTCACGACAGGGTGACAGCAGAGTTTTACAGAACCAGCAATGATCAAGATGGACCGCAAGTTATTGATGAAATCAGTATGTACTATGATTGTAGGTACATATCGCCGTGTGAAGCATCGTGGCGGTTGTTCGGTTTTGATATACAGTTTAGGACACCATCAGTGGAACGATTTTGCTTTCACTTGCCGAATCAACAATGTGTTGTTTTCGCAGATGATGATCCCGTTGATAACATACTCAGCCGGCCAACAATCTTACAAAGCATGTTCCTAGAATGGTTTGAGGCAAATAAAACCTACCCGGAAGCAAGGAATTTGACATATGCTGAAAAGCCAACGAAATTTGTATGGAAGAAAGATATTAGAAAATGGCAGCCAAGAAAAAGAGGATTTTCAATCGGTAGAGTATTCTACGTGCCTCC